CCTCTGGCTCCACAGCCAGATGCATGAACCCACCGAGCTATTAAAAGGATACTTAGGGTTTGGAAGCTGATCACCATCCGGCGTCTTTATCCAAGCAGCCCTAGTAGTTTAATGATTAATGCGAAAAAAGGGTGAAGGACAGCAAATAGAAGCAATCTGTGACAAATCTGTCACATCCAGGAATCCAATATTACGCAATCTTGATATTGTTATACTTATAGGGGTCTGATCCCTCCCAGCAGCAACAGTGGATCCCAAACTGAACCAAAGATGAAGTTCCTTTATCTTCTGTGTGCCCTTCTCCTTCTCGGACTCCTGCAGGGCCCAGGTAAGCAGCAGGTATTCTTCCTTGAGAACAGATATTCTTCGGTCCCTACTTGAGGGGCATCTTTGGTGGCCACCCTCACCTGGGGGAGGTACATAAGCCCCCCTGGGGTGCCCCTGGACCACTTGGAGGGGGCCGCAGACTGGAAACAATTCTCCACAGACTATCTTATAATGTTTATGATGCAACCTATACCATCCTTATTCAGGTTATATTTCGTTCACGTCCTGTTTCTGGCTGTAGCTAAAACCAAGTTTGAGAATGGCTGATCTGGGGAATCTTGTGGACAGATCAAGGTTGCATCCAGGGAGGGATTGATAAGTGGCTTGAACCTTAGATCTCCAGCGCAGGAGGCAACCAAAAGCTTCTTAATCTTTATCGGCTTTTGCTTAGGCAAAAAAAAAAAAAAAAATGACAACCCAACAACACCCTACAAGCAGCGTGTTGTGGTTTTGGCTACAGTTTTTGAACTCCCCAAAGAGTAGCCCGTTCTTTATATCTCCTTATGCAGTGAACCGGGAGGTCCCGGGTGCAGTAGAGGGTTGACTGCAGGCTTCTTGGATTGGCAATGAGAGACCCAGATGTGAATCCAGAGAGCTTTGGATAACTGGCTATTTCTCACCCTGAGCTCTCTAAGAGCTGAGCTATAGGTTAGAAATAGCACACCATGAGAGAATTGCATAAATGCTGAAAGGGGTGATTCTAATGGCAGGGGTGATTCTAATATACCTCCTGTATTTTGGAAATGAGCTTTTCAAGTATCTTAAATAATTAGAGCAATCCAAGGATAGGTTTCCCAGGACATAGTGGCAGTATGAAGTATGAGGAGGTGCCATCAAGGATGCTAGTCCTTAGGAGGAAACATATAGATGTTTAAAAAGGAGACTTCTGATCTTCCTCTACTACTGAATTTACAGCTTCTTTCACCCAAACCCTCATTTCCCAGCTCAGTATATCAGATTTCACCTCAGGTCTTACCCACAGGAGTCACTGAAGCCGTCAACAGCTATGAAGAATGTGAAGTTCATCGTGGTGCTGCATGTTATTCCATCGTCTGTCCTCCTGGGACCAGAACTATTGGGAGGTGCAATTGGTACCAGAAATGCTGCCAAAGGTAAGATAAAAGGTGCACCTACCTTGGGGAGCTCAATGAGAACGATTTGGCTTTGCCGCCATTTGATGGACAGCCTGCATGCCTTCTGAAATTGCTATCGATGTTCAAACAGGGACTGTGAATTGATTCGGACGTTCACCATTTATGTTGGTTGTGATGCGAATCGCATTCCTGGCCACAGCCCCCTTTCCCTCCTTCCTTTCCCGTCTTGCCTCTGCAAATCCTTTAATCCTTTGCAGTCCAGAGAAGTCCCTTAGCCAGAGCAAGAGGGAAAGGAGGACTAGGAGATACACCCAATGTTGCCTCTGTCCAGAAACCTGCGCAACGCAGTGAGCCAGTGCTCAAGGGTTGCGGGGAAGCAGCTGAAACCTCAGCTGAACTGTCTCTGAAATCCCCCAGTTATGGAAGGATTCCTCAATTCCTCAGCTAGGAATGAAGGCCAGGCAGGGTTGATGGATGTGTTAAGCGGATGCCAGGATGCAGAGAAGGAAAGAAATGTTGTCATTGTCCCCTGATGTGGTTCAGGAGGATCCAAAGAGGGGGAATGTGCCAATGGGAACAAACAAAGTCTCCTTTGCAGACAAGCTAGACAGAGCTTCTCTGGGCATCTTCCCCACTCAAGCTTCAGACTATTATATTTCTGGGAAACGTTTATAGACCTGTAGAAAAACCCTACAGTAAGATATCATGGAAAGGCATTGCATTGTGGCAGAACACGGAACATGAAAAGTCTGAACAGTAATTTTGCAAAATACATTATGATTCATAACTCAAAATAATCACCACTTCCCGCCATCCATTCATCACTCCTTTCTCTTACTTTCCCATGTGGGGGTGATGGATTTCTGGTGATCGAAACTGGTATAAATGGTTTGGTGTTTTTTTAAAAAAATCCCACTCAACTTCTTCCAAAAAAAAAAAAAAAACAGCTCAGCGATGCCAGAGCATTGAAATGTTTTCTTCCTTCCTTCCTTCCTGTTTTAAATTTTAGATAACATTTCCCTTTATTCACCTCATCATTGTGAGGATGCTGAGCTCTTCCCTTCTCCAAAACAGACAGCCTTTGTCAGAGAAGTCACCCTATCAATTTGCACCAACACTTAAAATAAAACATAGCAAAAACAAACAACTAAATATAAACCAAGCTTGCCTACAGGTGCCACAGTGTTTGCTTGGATTTTGGTTTAATTAGACGCACATAGCCTGACAAGATAGTTGGAAGACTCAAAGATGGAGACTGTTATTAAATTATTAAATCTCCCAGGTATGCCAATCTGAACCATCAACTCACTGGACCAATTCTGGCCCTGTAGCTGCTCTATCCCATTGCTCTACACAATTGTTTAGAGTAGACCAGGTCAACTAAGGTACTTGTGGTAGTCTGTATCCTTCCTTGTATAATTAGAGGAATCCAAGCAGGTTCTATAATGGTTTTCCTTCTATAATTACAGTGTCCTTGACAAGTGATTCCCCCCACTTGGAGATGCTGAGGAAGCTGAGCAGTGAACAGCCTCGCCCCCTGCAACCACTTTCTCCTTTGTGCACATCTTCCGGAATCAGCTTTCATTAGACTCCAGAAATCTTTTTCCAGTGTCGTCAAACTCAGCAGTCACGATAACTTGTTTTCTGATGCTTTTTCCACTTTAGTACATAAATAATTTTGCAATGAATTTTTGTGTCTATGTCTTATTGCCCAGGTAGATGGAAAGTTCCCTGCAATTCACTCAGCAGTTTTCGAGCTTAAATAAAATGTAGGCAACCCATCCTTCCTGGATGTTATTTTCTCCTATGCACTTGATACATAGGAATAAACAGATTAGGCATCCTTCAGTCTCGCGAGACTATGGTATGGAGGACTTGGAACAGCATCTAGTGCGGCTGAGAAGGCCAATTTGAGAGTGACAATCCCTTCCTCACGGAAGACAAATACAATCTGTCCCCTGTCTAGCTGCCTGGTGTTGCTGCTTTCAGGACTGCCTCTTTGCCTCAGCCTGCTGGACAATGGTCTCTTAAAATTGGGAGAGGCCGTGATGCACCGCCTGCCTCCAGGCTGAACGCTCAGATGTCAAGATTTCCCATCTGTTGAGATCCATTCCTAAGCCCTTCAGATCCCACTTGCAGATATCCTTGTATCATAGCCGTGGTCTCCCTCTGGTGTGCTTTCCCTGCACTCATTCTTCATGCAGGAAATCTTTTGGAATCCATCAGCCATTCTCAC